GCCCGGGAGCAAGACCTGTGGCCTCCAGGCTCTGAGGCCAACCCCCTCAGCTCTGCACAGACCTACCTGCGTGCTCCATGTCACCCCAAGTCCATCCGCCTTCAGGAAGGAGGCAGGACTGAGGAGGGAGACAAAACCCTACTGGCTGCTTGGGGCCAAGTCGGGAGCAGCTTTCCCTCACCTTTGATTGCCCTGTGTCTTCCTGTGCCAAAGCCACTCAAGAGCATGGGAGTGGAATTTCTTAGGCCTGGAAGTAGAGGAGGTGTCCCTGGGACTTTGAGGACAGAGTTGCCACACCCGACTCTCCCTGCTTCTCCCTTACAGCTGACCCATAAGAACCCTGAGAATCCCAGCCCACACCACCTGGGAGAGCCCTGACAACCAGCGCTGCCCAGCTGCTGGCTCTTCACTCCTCCGGGAGACCACGGCAGCACAGAGGACCTGGAGGCCCTGGTGGGGGAGGCCACCTGGCAGTGGCATAGCAGCCGGCCCTTAGGAGAAGGAGACCAGGCTCTGCTGGGTCAGCTTCCCGGGGCCCAGGCCCAGCTTCATGCTGTTGCCATGTCCAGCCCAGAGCCAACTGTGTCTGGAGAGAGTGGCCAAGTGAACACTAGGCCCACAGAACTGAGCCTATGTCCTTAGAGTTGGCCCAGGGCAGAGGTGGGTACATCATTGGTGCCAGCTGGACATTTAGTTAACAGGCAGTGTCACCCCACCCTTGGTCACAGGGTGGCCTGGAACCCAGGAGACCTGGCTGGAGGTCATTGGCAGGCGGGACTCCATGGATACTGGCCCCCAAGCCTGGCCACCAGGGGACCCTGGGTCACTGGCCTGCTTCCTTCCCTATCTGCTTCCTCAGCCATCTGGTCAGAGACAGGCTGTAGCAGAAGCATGCCATGCTGGTCTACAGCCCAGAGTGGGGCTTCGTCCAGCCAGCTTTCGGGGGAGGAGCAGGGCCCTGCAGCTGGAGCTGTCTTGTGGGAGGCGGCAGGGAATAGTACCTGGCCAGTGTACCCCCTGTCCCCTCCCCTCTGCTTTGCAGTGAAGCTTGTCCTGGAGCAGCTGGGAGGCTGGGGAAGGCAGCAGGAGCCCGTGTTTTGGCTGTTGTTCTATTTCCTTCCTGGGCCAGAGGCCTGCTCTCAGAGTGCTTCCAGGGCTCACCTGGCTGGGCCCTTCTATGCCTGGGCCCACTAGTGAGCTGCCCAGGCCTGTGTCCTGGAAGCCCTGGCCTGGCTGGTGGCCTGGGAAGGAGAACCTAGTGTCCAGGCCTGGTCCCCCTCCCCCGAGAAGCCTCATTAGCTCCTGGCCTAGGCAGCCTTGATTGCATCTGCTCGTGTTTTATGATCATGAACGTGTGCTGGTTTGCCATAGAAAATACATAATATGTGGAAAAATCTAGAGATGAAATTCTCCAATCAAGAAGTAATCACTAGGAGGGCCGGCCTGTGGCTCACTCGGTAGAGTGCGGTGCTGATAACACCAAGGCCACGGGTTCGGATCCTATATAGGGATGGCCGGTTTGCTCACTGGCTGAGCGTGGTGCTGACAACACCAAGCCAAGGGTTGAGATCCCCTTACCGGTCATCTTTTTAAAAACAAAAAAAAAAAGGGCCGGCCTGGTGGCGCACTGCTACAGTGCGCCGCTTGGGAAGTGCGGCGGCACTCCCGCCGAGGGTTCGGATCCCACATACAGACCGGGCCGCTCACTGGCTGAGCGAGGAGTAGGGGCAACGCCGAGGGTTGCGATCCTGTTGCCGGTCCCGGTCCGGTACGGGCGCGACACTGAGGGTTGCAATCCGTTGCCGGTCACAAAAAAAGACAAAAAGACAAAAAAAAAAAAAAAAGTAATCACTAGGGCCAGCCCGGTGGCGCACTGGAGAGTGCACCGCTTGGGAGTGCGGCGGCGCTCCCGCCGAGGGTTCGGATCCCACATACAGACCGGGCCGCTCACTGGCTGAGCGAGGAGTAGGGGCAACGCCGAGGGTTGCGATCCTGTTGCCGGTCCCGGTCCGGTACGGGCGCGACACTGAGGGTTGCAATCCGTTGCCGGTCACAAAAAAAGACAAAAAGACAAAAAAAAAAAAAAAAGTAATCACTAGGGCCAGCCCGGTGGCGCACTGGAGAGTGCACCGCTTGGGAGTGCGGCGGCGCTCCCGCCGAGGGTTCGGATCCCACATACAGACCGGGCCGCTCACTGGCTGAGCGAGGAGTAGGGGCAACGCCGAGGGTTGCGATCCTGTTGCCGGTCCCGGTCCGGTACGGGCGCGACACTGAGGGTTGCAATCCGTTGCCGGTCACAAAAAAAGACAAAAAGACAAAAAAAAAAAAAAAAGTAATCACTAGGGCCAGCCCGGTGGCGCACTGGAGAGTGCACCGCTTGGGAGTGCGGCGGCGCTCCCGCCGAGGGTTCGGATCCCATGTGGAGACCAGTTCCCGCTCACTGGCTGAGCGCGGTGTGGGGACAACACCGAGGGTTGCGATCCCGTTGCCGGTCAGTAAAAAAAAGAAGAAGAAGAAGTAATCACTAGGAAATTTTGGCATATTTCATCTACTATACTCTCTATCTTTCACAAATTTGTACACATACTTTTGCATTCTGAAGATGTAAATTCAGCATTAGATATCAAAGGCATTTTCTTGGGTTATTGAAACTTCTCCCTAAGCCTGACTGTGATGGCCACCCCCTCCCTTGGGGGTGGACACGAGGCAGTCTCTGATTGCTCGAGTCTGTTCCAAACAGCAGGGTGATAAACCTGGTGGTGTGTGCATCTGTGCCTGCATTTCAGGGTCCTGCCTTCATAAGCCTCAGGTCCTCCCCTTCAGATTTCTGGGAAACTGAGACTCCTGGTTCCAGGGTCAAGGTTGCTGGGCTGAGGAGCTCTTGCCAGGACTGCAGGTGGTGGGAGGGGCCTGGGAACCCAGGAAGCCAAGAGGGTGAATAGCAAGGCTGATGGATAGTAGGGGTCAGACCCCTGGGTGCCAGTGTGGAAGCCAGTGACCTGTGAGGCTAGGGAGAGGAGGCCTGGGCTTTTGGAAGCTGAGGGCAGAGGCTCTTCTTGTGCAGGTGGGACCTTCACATGTGTGCGAAGTCCCTCTTAGGGGAGCACACTGGGTCAGGGGCGACAGCTGTGGTGCTAGGTCAGACATGGGGGACATGGCAGGAGCTCAGTCCTGTTCTGCCTGGATCCTGCCCTCCTTACCCTGGGAGGTTTCATCTCCTCCCAGGCTCCTCCCCTGTGCTAGTTCCCTGGAGCTTGAGGGGAGTGGGGGCGGCTACCGTGCTGATCCCTCAGGCCACTGAGCACTGGCCCATGACCTGGGTCAGGCACTCTCAAGTGTGTCCTGGTCCGGAGGAGAGATCAGGTGGTGACCTGGCCTGACCCTATGGCGCTCCTGTGGTGCTCCATTTCCTGGAGTTGGGAAACAAGACTCCTTGGGGGGAAAGGAAACAGGGGGCACCAGAGCAGGGAGCTGGCCCAGGTCAGTGGGATGATGTCCATTTTGCAGAAGGGCAAGAACAGCAGCTGTGCTGCCTGGAGGTGGTCAGGGCCCCCAGGGCAGAATGCAGAGCCTCGAGGCAGGTAGGAAGCCCACCTTGTCCCCACTCTCCCACCTGACACCTGCCCTGTGGGGCCCTGCCTTAGCCCCTACAAGGCCAGGGCTCTCTGGTGGTTTAATCCCCACTCAGGACTGACCTGGAAGCTGGGGCATGTTTCTGAACCTGTTCTCTAGACATCTTGATTATGGGGGACAAGCGGGGTGGAAGGACAGCAGCCCTGGCCCTGATGGATCCCGGCCCTGCCTGGTTTCTGCATGTGGGTCTGGCAGTGTGTCCTATGCTGTGTGCTTTCTCTGCATTGTGTGACGTGTTGTATGTGTCCAAGAGTGGTGGTGTCAGCATCTGTTTCTGTCACCTCCTCTCTGGCTCTGGCTAATCAGACTACCCTTGGGACTTCCAGTTCCTGCTAATGGGGGCTCAGGTGTGGAGCAGGGTGGCCTGTGATTAGTGGGCTCAGTAGCTCTCTCTCTGGAGAGGCTGTTTCCTAATTAGCGTTTCCCCACTGGCGGCCAGCTTACTATATTCTAACAGAACATTACTGGCCAGTGTGGCTGCTTCCTGTCACCAACTCAGCCGCTGCTGGCAGTCTGGGATCCAGGGTCCAGGTGCTCAGCCCTCTTCCTTGTGCTGGGTCCTGGCTGACTTGCCACCTGGGGAGGGGTGCCCTGTGTGAACTTGGGGCTTGGTCCCCACCTGCCTTCGGGGGAGGCCGTGCAGCCTGGAGAAGCCTCAGACCTTGCCTCAAGGCCCAGCCAACCTGCCACGTCCCTGTAGCCCCCGCCAGCCCCGCCCGCCCTGCTGTTGGCAGGTTCCAGTGTCTAAAAATAGCTCTGGAGGAGACTCAAGTCTGGGGCGCAAGGAGGGAGAAGAGTTTGGAGAGGCAGCCACGACTCTGCTCCCAGACACGCTGGGCTGGGGCAGGAACACCCCACAGGGGCCTTGCCAGCGCAGCACAGCCTTCTCGGCCCTCCTGCCAGAGGCAGCCCGTGGCCAGTCTGGCCCCGGTGTCACCACCCAGCTCTGCTGTGCTGCCTTGGGGGTGGGCAGGGAGCATCAGCAGGGGGCTTTGCCAGGCCCAGGGCTGCCAGTGCCTGTGCTTCCTGGGGGAAACCGAGTACCTCCTGCTCCAGGGATGCCCAGCGCATGCCCATACAGTCTGCATCCCCAAGGCGAGCAGAGCTGGCTGCGTATTGGTGGAGGGGCAGGGTTCCGGGGGCGTTGAGCCCAAGGGAGCAACCTGCTTCAGCCCTGCTGCTCCCAGGGATGTGCGTGGGGAGGGTCTGAGTCAACCTTGTCCCAGATGTCCCCTTTGATTAGGGAACAAAAAGCCTTTCTGTGGAGAGAGCCAAACAGGGAGCCTGTGAAGGAGGCATGTGGGGGTGGCGTGTCCTGAGCCGGGCTAAAGAGTCCTGCTGGGCCTCCCCATCCCCACAAGACAGGGATGCCCGCGGGGAAGGTGGCTGCCAGCCTGGGTGCTGGTGGGAGGGTTCAGCGTGGTCTCGGCTGGGGAGCTGTGAGCATCCTGGGGCAGGGCCCCCCACACCTGTGCCCGTCTCAGCTCACTGCCCAGGACCCTGGACCCTGTACCAGGGGAAGGAAGGGGCTGGCCTTCTCTGGACCAGTGTCCCCCCACTAAAGAGTATCCTTTTGGGGGGTCTTGCCTGCCACAAGGTGGCTCTGGAGGTGCAGGTGCAGAGGGGAGTGGGGGTTTGCAGCCCCTGCTGTGTACCTGACCTTCCGAACCAGCTCTGTCCATCTGCCCGAGATTGGCCCTGAAGTCTGGGAGTCCTTGGTGGTCCTGTCCTCAGGAGTCTCCACGAGATGTGCTGCAAGGGACAGGGGAGGGCTACTTGTTGTTCTGCCAGGTCCCACCTCCTCAGAGGCCCCAGGCCCTGTCAGGGATGTCCTCTGGGCCCAGCCTGGTACCTGTAGCTACATCTGTCCTCAGAGCTGGGAGGCAGCTGCTGGGACCTGTGGTCGGGGGTACCTTGCCGGACAGGCCGTTCTGAGTGGGGAGCAGCTGGGAGGCGTTGACAGACTGGGCTCAGGAGGCCTCGTCTGTCGCCTTGTCCTGTGGGGCCAGGCCCCCCAGTCAAGGGTGGCCCTTTGCCCACTGGCAGTGCCCTCCAGAGCCAGGGCCTCGGCCTTCACCCTGCTGTCATCCCTCCTTGTTAGGCCACATGCACACTCCTCTGTGGAACCTTCCAGTCATCCGGCTGTGGAAACCTTCCATTTTCTGGCTCAGAACCGGACAGCTGTAAACAAAATTTAGGGGGTCTTATGAAAACCCAAATACTGCATTTCATGAAAGAAAGGTCAGAGAATGCAAAGGGGTGAGAAGCAGAGCCTCTGAGCCCACCCTTGGGAAGCCCCTCCCCATGACCTCTGTGTGCCCCGCCCACCTCACAGAGGGAAGTGTCTTGCCACTGTGAGTGGGGTCGCCCTGAGGACCCGTGGGTGGATCCTGAAGTCTGGCTTCCAAAAGTGGTGAAATCAGCTGTCTGCCCCCCAGGTGGTGGTGCCCACCCGAGTGGGACAGGGCTATGTCTATGAGGCCTCCCAACCGGAGCAGGACGAGTACGACATCCCGCGGCACCTGCTGGCCCCAGGGCCCCAGGATATCTATGATGTGCCCCCTGTTCGGGGACTGCTTCCCAGCCAGTATGGCCAGGAGGTAGGTGTTTGGGGGTAAGTGTGGTGGGACAGGGCAGGAACAGCATGTCTATGCCTCTGCTTGACCCTCACTCAGGGAGCTGGTGTTTCATAGCTCTAGCCAGGGCCTGGGTGGCCCAGTGTCCACAGCCCCGGGTCCTGGGGCAGGTGCTGCAGGGTTTCTGCTCTTCCCATTCCACCCAGGTGGCCCTGGCACCTGGATCACTGTATTTTTCTGCCCCCAGGTATATGACACGCCCCCCATGGCTGTCAAGGGTCCCAATGGCCGAGACCCGTTGTTGGATGTGTATGATGTGCCCCCCAGCGTGGAGAAGGGCCTGCCACCATCCACCCACCATGCGGTGAGCATTCAGCAAATGTGGGGGCCTCAGAGAGTGAGGCCTTACCTGTGTGGGTGGTTGTGGGTGTTGCTGGGTGCATGCACTGGGTGGGGACCGATGTCTGTAGGGCTGGGGCATGAAGACCAACTCCAGACCCTGGCTCTGCCCCTCACTTACTCTGGACAGATGTGGAACCCAAATTCTTTTCTGAGCGTCAGCTGCTTCATCTGTAAAATGGCCATTGTAGGGCCTTCTCAGCAGATATCTTGATATTGTAAGAGGATATCAGTAAGGTGACCACAAAATTTGTCATCCAAACTTGGACACTTGTGTGAGTGGAAGGGGTACTGATAATTATGTAGAGATATCAGGCACAAACTAAGACTGTCCTGTTCAACCCGGGGCATGGTCACCCCGAATATAAAACATACAGCTCAGCCAGGTGCTGCTACAGACTAGAAAGTCCACAAGTGATGATAGTGGTGGTGGGGATGGTAGTGATGATGATGGTGGTGGCGATGATGGTTGTGGTGGTGGCAGTGGCAATGGCAGTGGTGGATGGTGCTGGTAAGTGGTGGCAGTGACAGTGTGATAGCTAACCTCTCACTAGTGTTTGCAGTTAGTTACGCGGTTACATGAATTAACGTGTAGTCCTCACAACAAACTTGTGAGGAAATTCTCCCACCCCTCACCCCCCAAGTTCACCTCCCAGGACTCACCGGACGGGCAGTACGAGAACAGTGAGGGGGGCTGGATGGAGGATTATGACTACGTCCACCTGCAGGTGGGTGTCTGCCCTGCCCTGGCTCCCCGGGCTCTGACTCTGCAAACATTGTCGCAGGAACTCTGATCACCCCCCAACACACACACAGGGCTCTTGTGATCAGAGGGAGTCCCCAGTAGGGACTCAGTCACTGGTGAGTCCCTGTGCCCTCCTCTCACTTTGATTTTCCAGGCCATCTGCCCCCCCGCCACACACCCCCGAAAGCCCATTTCTCACCCCAGCTCAGGCCACGTGGGCCAGCGTGGCCAGGTCCTTGGGTCCTGCAGTGCCCCCCAGGAATGGCTCCCCAAGCACCTTGGGCTGGGTTTCTCTGGTGACCACAGCAGAGGTGGCTCCGATCTATTTGGGGAGACAGAATCTGAAGAAATACAAACATAGACAAAGATACTTTGAGGCGTGATGGGAAGGTGGGGTGAGCCTCTGAGGCTGGGACGCTTGAGCAGAGACCTGGGTGTCCGCTGAGTAGAAATCCCAGTGGGGAACATTCCAGGCTGAGAGCTGGCAGGTCCCAGCAGTGGGCTCAGTGGGCAGGGACTAGGTGAGGTGGCTAGGCCTTGCAGGCTGAGGAGAGGGATTTGGATTTGATTTCTGGCGTGGGCATCAGGGCAAGGAGGGTGGCCATGGCCACGTGGAGTGTGCGTCCTCCCTGTGGGGACCTCCCTGGGGCCCAGCCCCTTTGTGGGCTGGCAGGAGGTAAAGGAGGCCCCTAAGGTTGCTTCCTTCAGAGTCCGCCTCCCGCAGGCCACAGTGCTAGCCTGGGCACGTGTGCAGTGCCACCTGGTGGCTGCTCAGCCCTCACTGTGCCCCACAGGGCCTGCTGGTGCTTCAGGTTCAGAGGAGGGACTTGCCTCAGCTAGTCCTTCTCTCTACTCTCCAGGGGAAGGAAGAGTTTGAGAAGACCCAGAAGGAGCTGCTGGAAAAGGGCAACATCACGCGGCAGGGGAAGGGACAGCTGGAGCTGCAGCAGGTGAGACCCAGTCAGCCCTCAGCCCTGCTCCAGCACTGAGCCAGCCCTCCAGCCACCCCTCTGCCAGTCACTTTCAGCCTCACGACCATCTCCGTCTTTTTGTTTGGTTTATTTTAAAGTTAACAGAGTAATCAGGTAGACATTTTAGAGAATACAGAAAAGTATAAAGAGCAGTAAACAGCAACACTGATTCCCAGAGGCAGTCGGGGGAGCTGGGCTGGTTCCCTCCCCGCTCCTTCCCTCTGGGTGGCTCCCGCTCGAGGTGGTACTTTGTGAACAGTCACACTCTGCTTCTGTCTCAAGCGTTTTTCCCTGGTGTTAAACATTCTTCATGCGTTCTTTTTCTATTTTTTAATTGAAACATAATTGATTATACATATTTGTGAGGTACAGAGTTGACTATCAGTATTTGTTTATAATATGTGATGATCAAATCAGGATAGTTGGCATATTCATCATTACGAAACATAATCATTCCATACATTCTTTTTAAAAGCCACATAATGTCTGTTGTTGTTTACATTGAACCAAATTTTCCTTATTATAAGTAATACTGCTGTATTGATATGCAGACCTAGAGTTTTCTTTATAGTTTGAATCATTTCCTGAGGGTAGGAGAGGGGTATTTAAAACCAAATTTTCCTTATTATAAGTAATACTGCTGTATTGATATGCAGACCTAGAGTTTTCTTCATAGTTTGAATCATTTCCTGAGGGTAGGAGAGGGGTATTCAAAAAAAAAAAAATACTAAGGGTGTTTTATTCTGATTATGAAGATTTAAAAAATGTTAAAATAACCCATATCCCTCCCCCACCTTCCCCTACCTACCCCCGGGCTTGGAGGAGAATGGCAGAGGAGAGCCTGCCCCAGCCTGCGACCCAGGTCACACAGGCCTCTCCCCGCCGCAGAGGGGACGTAGGAGCAATGTGAGAATTCAATGTAAAGAGTGTAAAATGCTTAGGAAGTGCCTGACATGCAGAAAATACTCAGGAAAAGAATAAATGTTAACAATTAAGAAACAAAAACTATATGTATATATTTGAGTATGTGGAATCTCCATTGATTTAAGAAACGGACATGTGCTTTGTCCATCCTCTGTACTCTTTCTGCATGTATTTAACCAGTCAATCCCATTACTGGATATTTAGGTTGTTCCCAGAATTTTACATTTGTGAACGATGCTGTAATGAATACAAATCTTTGCACATAGCTGATCAACTGCTTAGATTGCTAGAAGCTAGATTAAAGGACAAGGATATGTATGAAGAACTCTGAAATGTAGAATTCCTAGGCCAAGGATGTAAAATACAATTAAAGTACATAAGCATAGACAAGCACATTTCTTGTTCCATTTCCACAGCAGCGAAAAATTTGAAAATCCCCTAAATGTCTAATAGTAGAGTGTTGTTTGAATAAAGAATGGACATTAGTATTAGTGTAGAATATTATGTAGCTATTAAGAATTACCAAAAAATAAAAAGACCCAACAGGTTTAAAAAACAACAACAAGTGTATTCTCTCACTAGACAAGAAAACCAAGAGTTGAAGAATTTCACCAAGTAGCTGCCTACGGGGGAAAAACTAAGGGTTTTTAAGTGTTAGGAAGGGGCTTCATGTTGGTTTTGCTAGTTAAGGCTTGAAACCTGGCACCTTGGGTAGAACAGAACTTGTCCATCCCTGAGTTCTGGGCACGGCTGGTCACAGCCGTGGTTTCCAGTCTGTTGCCCAAGAGCCTAACCTTGTTCCTGCTTCCGCAGCTGAAGCAGTTTGAGCGACTGGAGCAGGAGGTGTCGCGGCCCATCGACCACGACCTGGCAAACTGGTCACAGGCCCAGTCCCTGACCCCGGGGCGAACAGGCAGCCTGGGGCCCTCAGACCGGCAGCTGCTGCTCTTCTACCTGGAGCAGTGCGAGGCCAACCTGACGACGCTGACCAACGCGGTGGACGCCTTCTTCACTGCTGTGGCCACCAACCAGCCGCCCAAGATCTTTGTGGCACACAGCAAGTTCGTCATCCTCAGCGCCCACAAGCTGGTGTTCATTGGGGACACACTGTCACGGCAGGCCAAGGCAGCAGACGTGCGCAGCCAAGTGACCCACTACAGCAACCTGCTGTGCGACCTCCTGCGTGGCATCGTGGCCACCACCAAGGCTGCTGCCCTGCAGTACCCATCACCCTCTGCTGCCCAGGACATGGTAGACAGGGTCAAGGAACTGGGCCACAGCACTCAGCAGTTCCGCCGGGTCCTAGGCCAGCTGGCAGCTGCCTGAGGGCAAATGACCTGAAGGATGGAGGCAGGGGGGAGGGGGTGGCCACAGTCCAGCTGCCCCTGGTGTCTGTCTTGAGAGTCCACATGCTGCAGGCATGGGGACAGGAAGCCCCAGCTCTGCCTAGGGCCTGGTGCCCCAGACTGTCCAGGGATTTGTACATATTTATGGCAGGCAGGGCAGGATGTGAGACAGTGCTGCCTCAGAGGAGCCAAAACTGAGGAGCCACCTGGTGGTCTTCCCTGAGTGCACTGTGGGCCCAGGGAGGGTCACCACACTGGGGGTGGAGCCACATAGGCCCCTCAACCCCCACGGCCTTGTGGGACCTCTTGGGCTGACCCCAGCCCCATGAAGGTGCCCTGTCCCCACGACAGGGCAAATGTAGCTGTGGTGTTCCTTCTCTACACCAGGAGAAAACCCTAAAAACCTATTTTTCATTATTGATTTTCCAATCATTTGACTAATAGTCTACATTTAAATAAAATTTTTAAAATGAAAAGCAGCCACCTGAAGTGTGTGAGATGAGAGGAGGGCCGCTGGGCGGGAAGGCAAGAGCAGCCCTGGCCCTCACGTGCCACAGAGCGGGAACGACACATGTAAGGCGCTGAAGACTGGGTGGCCTCTCCGGGAAGGGTGGAGAGAAAGTGGGTCCCTTCAGGAGGAAGCCAGGGCCCCAGGAAGCAGGGCTGGGCCAGGGGCATGTGGCTGGGGTGTCTTCTTCAAGGTGGGGGTGAGCTCTGTAAATGGCCTCAAGGCCTCGGGAGCTAGACTACGGCAGGGAGGGCTGGCCAGAGCCTGGTGGAAAGCAGTGGTCAGAGGCAGGGTTTGAGGCCAGGAAGGCTCTGCCTGAGTGTAGCCCTTTGAGAGCAACGGCCACGGTCCCCTAGGATAGTCCTGTGGAGAGGCCACAGCAGCAGCCCCAGCCACATGCCC